AGGTAGACATGTGCAAACCGTTTCGTTACGAATCGAAATTCGTACGAATTTTCCTGAAATTCGTAGATTCGTAAGCATACGAAAGGGCGCACAAGTCTAATGCAAGGGAGCTGTAAGCAATGCATGTATGGATGGAGCTCTGTCGTGGCCATAGCCCTAGCCCACCTCAAGTTGACACTCGGCGCCGGGCAGCACATTTTGAATGGCTGCTCAGTGCAAGAACGGACAGTGTTGCGCTAGGGGGAGGCTGAGGAGCCTCTCACCTAGAAAAGTGGAAGGCATGTGTGACCCACAGGACACGACCGACTTTTGAGCCACGACCCTCCAGTTGAGAATTATTTTATTGTATTTTTTTTTGCTATTTTAATTTGATTAAAAAAAATCAGGTGATATAATTACCATTTACCAGCAGACAAAGGCCCAATTTGTCCTGAATAGAACAAGGTGTAATTCTCCTGAATACACTAAGTACTTACACTTAGTACATTACACTACAGGATACATTACAGGATATTACACTTTGACTAACACATGCCAAAGTTGCAAAACTGGGTTTATTTTTTTTTACCTTCATCATTAAAGGATTACTAAACTCCGCCCACTTACAAATTATTGCCATGTTGACGTACTTTACCATTGCTATGGTTATATCATATCACATCGTAAATGGAATCGTGTTAGCTCATGTTTCTAGACCTCAGGACATCATCACAGCTATATGGGTCCTTCATGCCATTTTCACAAATTTGCATAGGCACAAGCTATGTTGTTGGCTTATAATATTGCCCTTTTATTATTTGCTGGATATTATTAATGGTTTTAATACCCTGGGGCCCAACCTGCAACCCGAGGGCCACATGTGGCCCTTTGGTACTCCAGCAGTCAGTAGCAGAAACGGGATTGCAATAGCAGTGACCTCTAGCAGTCTCTTGTAACATGTTCCCAGTCTCGATCTGTGTCCTGCAGCATGTCTCCATCCACACCTGGAACACATTAGCAGTCTTCGACCAACTCCTGTAATATGTCCACAGACAATCTTCTGTAGCATCTCATGTATTGAGCATTATGTATATCTCAATATATCTTAAACCTGGTCTCAAAGTATCACCCTAACCGTCCCCTCTGCTCTTCACAAGACCTCCTGCTTTCCAGCTCCCTCATCAACTCCTCCCTTGCTCGCCTCCAGGACTTCACTAGAGTTTCTCCCATCCTATGGAACTCTCTACCCCAACCTGTCCGTCTATCTCCTACACTGACTGCCTTTAGGCGATCCCTTAAGACTCATCTCTTCAGGGAAGCCTATCCCCCCTCAACCTAACCACTGAACAATCACTTTCTCAAACAATCATCCCCACACAGCTACCTCCTCATGTATCACTTGCCCCTCCCTTTAGATTGTAAGCTCTCACGGGCAGGGCCCTCCTTACCATCTTGTCTTGAATTGTATTGTGATTGTAATGTCTTCCTTATATTGTAAAGCATATTGTAAAGAACTGTTGGCACTATATAAATCCTGTATAATAATTATGATGTGCGGCCATTTGATACTTGTTGTGCAGCCTTCGACACCCAGCATTCAGCAGTTAAAGCACTGATTTGTGAAGGGATTTCAATGGCAGTGACCTCTAGCAGTCTGTTGTAACAAGTTCCCAGACTCCTGGTCTGTGTCCTGTAGCATGTCTCCAGTCTCCAACCACACTTGGAACATAACAGCAGTCTTTAACCACATCTTGTAGTATGACAACAGACAGGTTTCTGTAGCATCACATATACTGAATATTATGTGCAGCCCTTTGATGATGTCAGGGGCCACAGTTGAGGCCCCCCAATACATCATAAGTTGACTACCACTAATGTAATAGATCTTGCTGGCATTATCCCAGTCTGGCTGTGTGCTGTTTCTAGAATATTACAGAAGAGACTCTTCTGCGGGACATCCAATAACAATCCTACAACGTACTGCTTTGGGTTGACTGCTAACCTCATGCTCAGGTCAATTTGGGCACTTTGAGCAGCGCTGGGGGTCCCCGGTTCGAATCCCAGTCAGAAAACTATCTGCATGGAGTTTGAATGTCTTCCCTGTACTTGTGTGGGTTTCCTACCTCACTCCAAAGACATGCTGGTAGGTTAATTGGCTCCTGTCTAAATCGGCCCTTGTGTGTATGCATGTGAGATAGGGACCTTGATGGCAGGGACTGATGTGCATGTGCACTATGTATAGTGCTGCGTAAATTGTTGGCGCTATATAGCAATAATAAATAAATAAATATTTGTATAATTATTTTACCATCTGACAGTAATTTCTTTTTTTTTTACAGGCATTTATATAGTGCAGACAATTTAGGCAGCACTACATAGTTGCACATTCACATCAGTCTCTGCCCTCAAGGAGCTTACAATCTAAGGTTAGGGTAAAGGGAATTCCCCTATGATGATGCGCAACCCATGACAAGCAGTAGACTCATAGGGCCCCTATTCAGTATCCCATGACAACCAGTAGACTCATAGGGCTCGTTCACACAATGGTGCATTGATGTAGCACCATGATGTGTTTTATTGGGCATTGTGCGCATTGCATACCTGCAACCGGTTCATTTGTAATAGGACCCATTGCAGGAGAAACTGCTCCTGCTCTATTTTTTTTATGGCAGCACATTGCACTGATTGGTGCATTACTTTGCAGTACAATGCCGTGCACAAAGAAGTGAAAGGTCTAATTTACAACATTAGCCCCCTCACCGTCCGGCTTGAAAAAGAAGACCTGGCTCTTCGAAGCGCGTAGCCGCAACAACGTTCACCTCCCCACACTTGCCTTCTCCCCGAGACTCAGCACTCGTCGCCTTGGGCGCCCATGCTCGCACCCTCGAGCGCTGAAGTCACATCACTCCCACTGACTCTCCCGGCTCTGCCGCCTGCAGCGTCTATCTCCTGGCAACCGCCTATCACAGCCTTCTCCGCTCTCTGTGCCCGCCCGCCTCCAGCCGTCCTCTCTACCCCTGAAGGCCGGCTTGCTCGTGCCCTCGAGCGTTGGAGTCTCAAACACTCCCATCAGCGATCCTTTGCTGGACACCTCGGGCTCCGTCCCAGTCTCTTCCCCCCCCCACACACCCGATCCGCCCAGTGCATATGCCCACACTGACCTGACACTTCCAGTCGCCAGACCTATCATTCTCAAGCAGCAACACAGTGCACACCAGCTGCACCTTACCCCCCTCAGTCCCAACATCCTCCAATAGCCCATGTCCACCCGTGCCTGTCACCCCCCCTCCCATGCACTAATCGGACCCAGACTTCCACCACCATCCAGCACCCCCCAAACCCTCAATTCCCCCTGACCTTCCCACAAGCACAACTGATTGGTCATAATCCCAACCAGTGGAGGTTCCCCTTCTATTCACCCCTCGTCGATGATATCGCATCAGCTATTACTTTTTGGTAAGTTTTTCAAACTTTGCATAAATCCAATTTCTTATGGTAGTAGCGCTTCTATCCCCATTTTTTGGTCTCCTTGACAGACGTCGGACACCCCGGTCCGCATTCCTAGAAGCTGCACACCTAGCGCGGGGAGAGAAAAAAAAAAAATGTCACTAATTTACAACATTCACAATTTAAAGGCCCACTTTGGCTAAAATATGACCAGCACATTCCTCTCCCCTGTACTCATTCCAAGGGGTTTCATTTTTCCTCACTTTGCAGACACAATATACTCAACCTGAGTCCCCCTTTCAGGTTCCTTGGTGGGGGTTGTTTCCGGGTTTGAAAGACCTCGGTGGCCCCTACCCTCCTCTTGCAATGATCTCACCCCTCTTCTGCGTCCTTAGGGAACCGCGCCACTAGGCAGCCAAACGGAACTGTTCATGTTGTACGGGCAGTGATGTGGACACCTGAGGAAGGACCCCACAGGAAGTAAACATAGGAAGAGGGACGACACATGCTGTCATCGGCTTCCTCCTTATCCGCTGCCGGCCCACTAATAATATCACGTGCCTTTACTTGTGCATATGCCGCCCCACAGAATGCCGGGACTAGGGAAACCGTGTGAGAAAGAGGCAAGTACGTACGACTTTCAAGGTAAATTTATCAAACTTGGGGCACACAAAATCTGGAGCATTTGCCCACGTTAACCAATGAGCTTCTCTCTTCATTTTGTTCAGTGAATGTTTGAAAATGAAAGAGAGAAGCTGATTGGTTGCCATGCACGGCTGCTCCAGATTTTGTCGGGTCCACTTTTGATAAAGTTCCTTAATAACAGGTGGGCGAACTCTGGCCCTCCAGCTGTTGCGGGTACTACAAATCCCATGAGGCATTGCAAGATTCCCACAGCCACAGACATGACTACCAAAGACAGATGCATTATGGGATTTGTAGTTTAACTACAGCTGGAGGGACAGGGTTGCCCACCCCTGTACTAGAATGTATTTGTGCAGTCAGGTTTATTAAAGGGGGGCATTTAAAGGGCCAGTAGGTTCAGTAGGTTAACAGTACATAGCGCGGGAAAGCAGCTTAGTAGAATTTTTAAACAAATAAACAGTAAAAAGGTAAACAGCAATTTATAAATATTTTTAATTTCTTCATTGTGAATGGGAGCATGCAACAAATATAAAGTGGGTGTTATCCTAGCACAGGGCAGACAGGGTTAATTATGGTAGACAAGACCCCCCTCCCCCCTCCTATAGAAAGGGAGAGCTAAGCCAGATTTTCAGCACATACAAATAATTCAGAATTATGACAAATGAATGTGAACATGTGAGAAAATGTAAAGGCAGCCGCGGCGTCGTGCTGCAGAAGCGCAAATCGAGCCGGGCCGGCAGCGAGAGGGTTAAGTCCCGGCTCCTCTTTTCTTCTCCCTTTCACATTCTCCACCTCTGAACCTCGGTGATTGACAGTCGAACAGGAGGAGAGGGGGAGGGGGAGCGACCAGCGCAGCCGCCTATCACAAACCGGAGGGGGCGAGGATTCGTCCGCTCCTCCGCCAATGGGCGCCGGAGGGGGGCGGGATCCCCGGTCTCCATTCTGTGCCGTGTGTCAGCTCTAGAGGAGAGAGGAATAGACACGGGAGGGGAGGGAGGAGAGCGGAGTCCAAACAAAAGCAGGACACCGAGCGGTGTGGAAGTTCCCTGCCTCGGTTCCAGACCCCCCCCTCCGGGAGAGCGATCCGTGCGAGGCTTGGATCCTAACAGCCAACCAACCTTCCCCCCCCCTCACCCCCTTCCTCCCTCCCTGCTTGGAGGCTCGGTCCGGATCCGGACGGATTGCTGCGCCCTGGAATTATCGGAGCCGCAACAAAGGCAGGAGAGAGAGAGAGAAGAAGAACAATAAGAGTTCCCTGTGCGCTGCAAGAACACAGCGCAGGGTGCACGGCTCTGCTCCTGGAGATGGATGATCAGCCCAGGCTAATGCACAGCCACCCAGGGGTGGGGATGGCAGGTCACCCCAGCCTGTCCCAACACATGCAGGATGGCACTGGGGCCACCGAAGGGGAGGGGGGCAGGAAGCAGGACATAGGGGATATATTACAGCAAATTATGACCATCACTGATCAGAGCCTGGATGAGGCACAGGCCAGGTGAGCTCCCATGGAACACTGCATCTGTGTCTTCCCTCCTTCTCATTGCCTGTACACTTTGCATTCCATCTTCCATACTTTTCCCCGAATTGCATGCCTGTGTGTGTGTCTCTCCGCATCCCTTACCATATGCATCACAGATAACATCGTGTATATCCCTTTAAAAAGACCCATCAACTCCTCAAAGCTACACACTTTTTTTTCTTCTATGCAAACATGTTGCACCGTATAAGTACAGATGTGATGTTTTCCTACGTCTGGTGTTTTTATGGGTAGGTAGTTGCAGGGCCGCATGGGCACAGTAAAAAAAAAAAAGTTATGGGCAGGGATGTGACTTTGCCTGTAGTTCATAAATAGATGGCGTGTGTGCGGAAAGGGTTTCTTTTTTGAGGTGGGAAAAGTTAAATGTGACTCTTCTGCAAATAAAGTGTGAGGATACGTTGACTCGTAAAGTTTTAGTACAGTCATAGAAGTACTATAGAGGTCAAGTTGCTGCCAGGCCTGCTATGGTGCCTCGCAGCTACGAAAGTCTGGCTGTCACCCAACGTGAAGAATAGGATGCAGTGGGAACTAGTGACTGTATCTCGTGCTGGAAAGCAGAGGGGTTTAGCTAGATTGTGATCAAAAGTGCAAGTTCCGTATGAGTAGATGTTATCTTTGGGACAAGGCCAGTGTAGGTGGCAACCATGGATAGGGTTGCCATTAGAAATCCTTGGGGCCCTGTACAGTTTACCTGGCAGGGTGCTTTTTGGCCACGGTCAGCCCCTGCTAACCAGATGGGGCCCGGTACAGATGTACTGCCTATACCCTTCTACCCATAGCCTGATCATGGGTCAAGGTGTGCTTTATTTACCGCAACCTTTTGCAGCCAGGGTTCTCCTAATGCTAGGGTTCCTCCATAGGTTTGTAGGGGTTCCTTGAGCAATTTTTGATGCTTTGATGAGCCAATGTATGGCACTGTCTTCTCATTGACCACCAATGTATGGAGCATTCTTCCCAGTGAGCGCCAATTGTAAGAGATTTTTTTTTCACCACTGACCACCAACATAAGGGATATTTTCCACAGGCCATCCGCGTAAGGGATATTCTTCCCACTGATCACCAACTTTAGGGATATTCTTCCCATTGCCCACCAATGTATGGGACATACTGACCACTGTAGGGGGCATTCTTCCCACTGACCACCAATGTAGGGGGCATTCTTCCCACTGACCACCAATGTAGGGGACATTCTTCCCACTGACCACCAATGTAGGGGACATTCTTCCCACTGACCACCAATGTCAGGGACATTCTTCCCACTGACTACCAGTGTAAAGGACAAGCTCCCCACTGACCAATGCAAGGGACATTCTTCCCACTGACCATCATGCTTATGTACTGTAAGATGTAATTATTAGCTGGGGTTCCCTGAGACAGGAAAGTTATTTTGAGACTTCCTCTATGGTAAAAAAAGACAGAGAGGCTGGTTTAACATGTATAAGTGTTCATATATGAAAACCTGTGAAGGAACCTTCACCAGAGTTGTACAAAATGACTCTAGAACAGACACGTTCTTTACAACGGCAAAAATTAAATTAGGTTTACTACTTAGAGCAACTTTACTCGGAGTGATGTAATCACTCTTACTCAACTTTTCACCGATGGTTCTAAAAAGTTTTCAAAGTCGGCCATGTGCAATCAAATGTAATTTTGTTTTCCAGAACATATTGGGACATTCCTGTCCATGATGAAATGATGTCATTTAATTGTGCTTTTTTAACAGTGTATGGTTTTCTGCTGCTCAGGATCAAGGATACCTGGAAAAAAAAAACTTTACTCTTCAGAATCACATTTTATACCAGTTATCATTAATCATTGTTAACAGAGCTGAAACTGTTCAGCTGACCTCTGAATATATTCCAGTGTTGTTTTTTTTTTTTTATTGCCTTTCCATTTTAGGCTTTACCTTCTGCTGCGCTAGGCCTTCCAGTGTGCATTCCTTTTAGCTTGTCAACGCAACGGCATTGTCTCTCCTACGGGCCTTCCTTCACAGTGTAGGCAGTTCTTGTTTTACAGTCATCCAGATAAAATGATACATTTGTTTCATACATGCATGCTGTAGTAGGAGATTCACCAAACATTAAGATCCCCATGCCCTATGCTTCCTGCGTGATAGAAATTCATTAAAAACTAGGCAAAGCACGTAGCAATGTCGGCTCTGGCATAGTTTTTGTGTATCACTATCTTTGGTATGGACCTTTTTTAAATTAAAAAAACAGTATAGTCAGGGCTTGCAGGAAAATGATCGTGCCTTAAATCTGGGTCAGGAGTTGTTGTAATAAATGCCATTTTATGGGCTCTGTAGTAAAGCAAACAACTCCGTGCTATTTTTATCACTCTTTGTATATAATGCATTAGTAATATACTGTGTTGTGATCTCTATTGCAAATACGTCTAAGCGTGTGTAGCAATTGCAATCTATTGAGTGTTTATTTTATTGCAAAGCGTGGGGTGCTTGTAACAATTTCAGCTCCTACCGTGTTAAGATTAAAATATATCTCGGTAAAGACGTATTTTTTTTAGATTTTGGAATTTCCAACTTTCTTTTGACCCACGCAGTCTTCAGGGACGTTGCAACAGGCAGCGTTTGTACTGTTTTCTATGGTGCTCTTGTGTAGCCGGTTACACATCCCATTTTTCATCACGGTGATCGGTGGCTGTTGATCACTTTGTCATTGGTGTCTTAGTTAATTCACTCGCCTTGTCGGAAGTCGACTGCGATTTTTGAATGTCACTAAAGCCAGACCACAGTGTCACCGTGCGAAGGAGCCATGAGGGCCGATACGATCTAAAAGCATTTTGTGATGGCAGATTAATTGGCTGTCATTTAAATTTGATACACATTTGACAAATCCCTTTTTTCCTATATTTTTTTTATTTTAAATATTTTTTGCAATATATCATTTGCACTGTATATAAAACATAAAGGACTTGTACACCAAATCTGTGCGGGATTTTTATGTTTTAATCTACATAATTATTACTGCAAGCCAAGCAAGCGCTCGGCTATGATGAATGACACCCTAGCCACATGAGACCCACTATGGACAAAGCACAACAAAGCATCGTATTGCATCCTTGCCTCGTTCTGTGGGATGTGCAGAACGTTATTGATTTTGATAGCACAGAGCACTTAATATAGGATAAGAATTCTTTTTGTAACGGCCACAAAACAGCTTTTAGTAAAATCACATTACAGGACAACTTTACAAGCAAACATGGATGTGCGTCGAATATATACTGATCTAGTCGGTCACTAGAAGCTAAATGTGTTTTTAGGATCCCAATACTTATGTTAAGCAATGAGTTTATAAATAATGCCATTACTTATAATTTCATATTTTCACACAACAATGTGGTATTCTCTTTGTGCCTAAGATACTAGATTTAGTATATCGGCGTCAATGTTTGTACATATCTTACAGTCCACAACTTGTTGTTTTTAATGGGTATTTACAGCCTGAGCACACTGTATTTATCTAATACAACATCCACTTGCAAGGATCTAACAAGGATCCATCGTGATTCACAAGAAGATATGTTTTATAAACATTTGCACACCGTACTGGATATCTACTGAACACTGTATTTGTGTTTAAACTAATGTTTTATATGTGTTTGTAAATAAAACAACCTATTTTCTGCTTTGGAAATAACAAAGTACAAAATACACACTGGTGTATTTTCATTTGAGATGAAAGCGACATTTGAATAAAAAGGAATTTTTTTTGACGCCAGCTAGACAAAGCTGCGTATAGAAAATAAACAGACATAGGAAAATTACGATTGCACGTGAATATTGTAGGAATGTAATTAATTGGCCTTGTCTGCGCTGGATCAATGTGTGTGCTTTTTGTATGCTCCGTGTGCTTTGTATTGTGAATAGACTTTTCTAGATCTGCTGTAATTTTGGTTTATTTAAGCTGGCTGCGTGATTTAGAACTGTTAAATTATAGGTAGTGACATGTTTCAGGCCACCAAGGTCCATGGATGCAGTCACTGGTATTTTAAAGCCTGGGGCAAAAATGACCGGATCCATGTTGCTCGATATTTGATAGGTTGACGTGCAGACTTGTGTTATGCAAGTCCGTGTAAAGCAGTTTACAATTGTCATGTGAAGTGCTTGTTTGTGCCTGCTGTAAATGAGCCAGGATGTAGTAGAATGCACGGTCCATGAGAGAGGCTTGTCACTGCACTGTGCTGTCACACACATTGCGTAATCCATGTGGATCAGCATCACTTGGAGAAGCGTGTAAACACATATATTTTGGAACATGCAGAGACACAGGCCCAGGGAACCTGGGCTCCTGAACAACATGGCTAGTACCTAACTTTTTGGGAGCCGTTCTTAATGCTGCTAATGGAAGATGTCTTCCAGCTTTTGAATTCTAAATCCATCGACCTCTTAACATAGTTGCATATATTAACTTGTTAAAGACATGTGTCACGTAAACACATGACTTTACTACAGATGTAGGAGAAATATGTGATATCGTAGGGCAGGGCTGGACAAATCCCAGGAGCCAGGTAGTCGATGCATCTTAAAATGACAGCTGACGCCTAACTTTTGAAGTTCCATCTAGTCAATGGAGCACGCTCCTAAAATGAAATCCTGTTGGCTCCTGAATTGGACACAGTGGCTTCTAAATTCCATATTATTTCATCCGCCCCCTGTAATCAAGAAGCCTAAAAAAAAAGTCACCTTGATTGGATCCATTTGAACCTGTTAAAAGACATTATCTGTAAAAAAAAAAAAAGTCAAGGCAACTGGACTTGCTGTATTTTTCTTAAGAAAATACAGCAAGTCCAGTTGCCTTGACTTATTTTTTGCAGATTTACCATGACCTGGATGAAGGAGAACCCTCACTGACATACTGTTAAAATACTTTTTTTTTCCCTCATTGGTGACAATGATCTTTGCATTTGTTTATATGCGCCTCTTTACAGAAGACCTTTTC